TCCGATACTGTAACTATCTCTTCTCTTATTTGTTCTTTCTGCTTGAGAATGTCACTCTCCACTTGAAGCAAGACTTCCCTATCAGCCGCCACGTCTTCTGTTCTCGCCCTTAGACAAATGAGAGATTTTTTGAGTGCTTCTAAATGATTAGCGTACGAGACTTGAATATTGTGATATTTGTGACCTTGATGAGTTGTAGCAGCCGTTTGATATGTGAGAAGCTCGCGGCACTTCTCACAGTAGAAATGATACTCTTCCTCCCCTTCTGTCCTCTCTACAGCATCTTTTAGTAACTTTAAGACAAAAGTAATGACAAATTGAGACGCTCCACCTTCTGGAACAGCAGTTTCTGCTCTGCAAACAGGACATTCAAAAACCCTTTTTCTATCAGATATATTCTCTAGACAATGTAGACAAAAGGAATGACCACAAGGTATAGTCCTTGGATCTTTATAATCATCAAAACAGACAGAGCATGTCAGCAGCTCAGAAATGTCCGCATTTGCCTTAGCTGCCATTTTGAACAATTAAAGAAGGTGTGGTTAAAATATGCCACGCCTACATATCACACCTACTTTCATTTTCCAACATGTCTGGACAGTGTCAAAGACGTCCTGGTCTTATGGGAATGCTCATGAGCTTCGCATCTCCTCCTCAATTCACAACCTCTCCGTGGCTCTTCTCTCTTCTATACGTCTCGGTATGCGGGCTCTTTCTTTTCAAGATGCGTTTGAGTCCAGACAAGGCAAATCGTGTCATTTTCAAAGCCCTCCCTTTCGGAATACTCTTTGGTGCTGCTGCCTCCCGTCTCGCTGACGGCAAAGTACTCTCCATTAAAAACCCTGATTTTCTCCCAAGGGTCTACACGCTAGGAGGCGGGATGGTATTTTATTGCATGAGCTGGGTGTATCTTGAGTTTGGCTCTCTCGTTGGTTATGGTTACATTAGCTACATAGTCGCACTGGGTATTTTCATTTACGGGTTTAGCTCAAGTTTTCAACTCTACAAGGACTACGCTAACGCCGATTATGCAGTACTTGGTGTCCTCTTGCTTCTCTCAGTCCTCGTATTCCTGTATGTATTGTCCCGGATACCAACCTGGTATGTACCCCTTCTCCTCGCACAGTTGGTCTTACTGAGTACTCTTGTATCCATTCAATTTTCGCTTCTCTCAAGGAAGGAGATACCAATGCTTTATTTGGGCACTATTGGCAGTGTATTTCTTTATGTTTCTGATGTCCTGAGGGCTATTGGAACCTGGCGCATTCCTTTCAAGCATTATGATACCATTTGCATGGGATTGAGCTACGCAGCTATGTTGCTCCTCTTTAATTCCACCATGGTGATTTAGAGACTTGAATTGTTTTTGTACGGGGATAGAGTAATTCTGTTTTCTTTGAAACTATATATAAGCCCTTTTTGTTTTCTTTTACTTGTTGTTAAATTCATTTTGACCATTAATTTAATTTTAATGGATTTTGTAATTTTAATTTGAGCCACACCCTTTTTCAGCTATAGGGCGGATCTTGTCCAGTTTCAGCGAGTTCTTTCAGTCAATTTTCACAATGTATCCTTCCATTCAAATCTGTTCAGTGCTCTATGGCTTACTGTGTGGCTTATATCTCTTTTATGCGGTCAAAAGCAACAGGAGTCCACTTTTTAAAGTGATCTTTAGAATCCTACCACTCCTCTCTCTCATAGCAATCATGACATACCTGGATCAGTACAAGCCCATAGAGAACACCACACAATATTACTTCATGAAAATGAACAAAACAGTCTGGGCGATACTGTTTGTAGTGATAGGGGATGTCTACATCTACTGCAAAATGTCACTTTACAAGATGATTTCAATCATTGTAGCCTATGGTTTTCTCATTTGCATTTTTTCATTTGATGGTCAGATCATCCCATACATCACAGTGTCTGAGATAATATCACTTCACCTGTTTGGATTCGTTTCTGCTCTTGCTGCAATTTACTCTCTTCAGAAGCTAAAGAGAGATATTTTCTTTTCCATGATGTTAATGCAAGTTTTGCTATCAATGCTGATATCGTGGTTTTCTGTTACATTGATTCAGTTAAATGGGGCAACATTTCATGGGGCTTTGGGTGTGTTTGGTGCCTCAATGTTTTATGTAGGGGAACTGGTAGTGCTGGTGACTAGCTCAAGGAGAGGGAAAATTACTTTTGACATACTCGACTCTCCAATTCTGACTGTAACCAACTATGCAGGGTTTTATTGTATTATTGTCTCACTTTTATTGGAATAAAAGAAATATTTTTTACTCAATTTTATAGTGCTGCCACGCCCATTAGGTTTAAAGTGTAGTGCTAAAATTCGAATCAGATCTCAGACTCAGTTGGATTTGTGAAGGCTGCTATAGTACCCTAACTAAAAGATGGAGACAGTTCACCAGATTGCATCTCTTGTCTACGGTGCTCTCAGCTGCTTTTACTTGTTCTTCATAATAAGGAGCAACTACCGCCATCTTAAAGCACTCTTCAAAATACTGCCCCTCTTTGCACTACTGTTCTGCCTCGTCTCTGTTAGTATGAAATATGCTGCACCTTTTAACATAAAGTCTCCATACTACGTTCAGAAACTCTCCATGGTAACAATGGGTGTCATATTCTCTCTAATGGGTGACGTATATCTCTGCTATGAATCGCTCTTTATGTATGGGATCGTGTCCTTTGCATTTGCTCAAAGCTTTTATGTCTTCACTTTTTCTGATGAAGGCTTCCTCTTTACTCAAGTCCGTTCTCCAGAGCTGATCAGCCTTCTTTGTATTGGTTGTATCTCTATTGCCATATACACTTATCTTGTTTCAAAGATGACGTGTGGCCTATCGGTCCTTGCCTTGCTTTACACAATCCTCATAACGTTGATGGCGTGGTCTGCTGTTATGCAAGTACAGAAATATGTCTCTGTGGTTACACTGGCCGGTGGTGTGGGGGCTTGTCTTTTCTATGTTTCCGATGTGACGATCTCGATGAATTTGTGGAGAGGACCTCTTTCGAGTTTTCTTGCTAAAGAGTTTGTCATGATCACTTATTACGCAGCACAGCTCCTGATAGTCTTTTCACACATTTACAATGATTGACACATTTGTGAACTGGATTATTTTTCATATACTTATTTTTTGACAATGTAACAACCATTGTAATTATAAATGTACTTCACACAAACTAGCAAAGTATTAAAAAAACTATTAATCAATCATTCGTTTGTTGCAACTTGCAAGGTACTACTTTTTGTTGGGGCAGTGGGTCTCGGTGGTCTGGCTGGAAGAGTATTAGAGCGTGAAGGAGGTGGTGCTGGACGTCTGTTAAAACAAGTGGCAGCATTACATCAATTATTGAGTGTGTTGACTATCATACCTTGGAGATTCAGTTGATTCAGGTATAGGTGAATTATTACCACCTGGGCTGCTAGTACTATTCAATACAATTAAAAGTATGCTTTTAATGTACATACAATAAAATCAATAGAGGAACAAAGCATATTATACATAGTAGTCCAACTATACCTAGCAGCTCTGGTTATTTTAGCCTTTTTCCCTGTGTTTGTGTTAGAGTTGACATCTGTGTGAGTGCTGTTCCTAGCAATGCCTGACGTTGGTTTTTGGTTTGCCATAGGAAGAGGATCAGAGCCAGTAGCATATTGTCTTTGAGTAGTTATATAGTGGTATGGACACCACATTATATTACCCTAAAAATGATTAGTGCTATAATAGTTATGTGAATGCTTGAATTCATACCTCAGGCCCTCTAATGGGCCTTATAGAAGATATTGTGAAGTAAAACGATAAAAGCCAAGTCTTTATGTAAATAAATAATTAAGTTTTACCATTGCACAAAGCAATACCTTTATTCTTTCTTTTATTCTTTCAAACAAAGATGGTTTTTTAGCTCCAGTTCTATCATTTTCTTGAGCCATACTTCCAGTAATAACATCCACTTCTTTGGCATCCTAAAATGCGTTACTTTAGATTGTTTTTATAACAATAAGTATTGATCTACTTTTGCAGCTGTTAGCCTTGAGCCCTCAATAGTAGCTCCTTTGTCTCCCCATTGAACTTTCATTGGTGTTATTCCACCAGATCCCCTTCCTCCATAATAAGATGCATCAACCGTTGACCACTTTTGAGGTGGAGTTGGATCAGCTGGCCTTTCAGGATCAGCCTTTTTTGGCAATGAAATAATTTTCTATATATAGTAGCCAGAATTAATGTGTAAAATTGTCAAATAATATTAATTAGAACCTACTCCAGTTAGCAAAGGTATGAAAAACCACAGTGCAAGCAAAGCAATGAGTATTAGAAGAGCCAGCATGCTAAATGTCAGGCCAACTGCCAAGCCAGCATTTGGAGACTATTTGAAAAATGTTATCAGTATATCTAGCCATTTTTATGCATACTGTTCCTGTAGTAGGCGTACAATCTTGAGCTGATATTGTAACATTGCTTGAAATGAATGAAATTCCATTAAGTGTCACTTGAAGCAAAATGTCCCTATATTGCTGTTACTTAGCAGTTTATAGTGTAACTTACTACTTACTGTGAAGTTTCAAAATTCGGCAAAGAACAGACTATTCTGTCATATTGTATATTGCCCACTGGTTTAGTAACTATACACATTAATAAAGTATTATAATAATTGGACTATTAAAATAAATCTTACTTTCAAATTGTGTCTCATTGTATATAAAACGACAAGCAGTGGAATTAGGATTGAAAGTGTTAGTGAATCCTTGTCCAGTCAGTGTTGTTGTCAGCCCCTCTTGATTAGTGCATATTTGGGTAGGATTAGCTCCTAATATCTCAATGCATGTGTCATTGATGACCTATATTGTGTACATGGATTTACATACATGCAGTGTAAACTCATGCATGCATGCAGTGTGCAATCAAAGTATGAGCTTTTTGTAAGTCAATGAATGTACCGGCACCTGATTTATAATTGTTGTCAAATATTGGAAGTCACTACCAATAAACAATTCTCTCTCATCAGTCACAAGACCAAGCAACTATAGATAGCAATAGAATAACAATACAATTTATTTCTGTAAATTTTTTGGTTATATTTTTACCTGCTCTCTGTTTGCATTAGCAATGCCTATAGCAAAAATTGATCCTCCTTTTTGACGAATTTTAGAAGCCTATTATACATTTATGCACTCCGCATTAGGCTCAGTAATTCAGATGTTTGCTCACTTCATTAATAGTTGCTGTTTGATCACCTATTTCCCCATCGGTAAGTATCAGCACAACACTTGCCGTATCACCTCCAAGACTATCCATTTGATTATTGACCTGTATAATATTAATACTCATTATTATTATCAAGCAATCTCTGTGGGGTTATACCATGCTTAGTCCAGGGGATAGGTTTGTTCCTCCACCAACAGTGTGAGACTCAAGTCTTTTAATACCAGTTTCTATTTGTGTTCTGTATTTACATAAATGATTATTCCGTAACACGCTCAAATTTACCTATTTGATGTTAGGTCAAGAAGTATGAGACTAT